TCCTCGTGGAATACAAATAAGGGAAATGCTGCCGGACACAATGTCACGTATGTTATTCCTCGCACGACGGTGCGGACCCTGAACCATGGATTTTCCTAGCCTTCTTTTCTTCTTCTCCATTTTTATATCTGAATGGACCTTGGGAATTAGAATATCGTTAGACCGATATTTTTGAACGTGTAATTTATTTTCTTCTTCCTCTTTCTGGGTAAATTTCGGATATTTTATTTTTGCTTACTGGGACGTATTTTGTGGAGTAATTAGTTGTTCGATGTTTTTGATTTGTTTGTTTGTTTTAGCGTGAATGTATTTTTTGGAGACGAGAAAATTTCTCGTGGTATTGCAGATTATAATTATGGATTATCCTAACCTCTTTTTCTCCTTTTTTTGATCAGACTGGTTCCTGGGAATTATAAAATAAGTCTAATTTTGCGAATTAATTCAAATAGCTTGCCACATGTAATCTTAAATGTATACACGAGAAGGAAATGCTAAAATAGAAAAGAAATTGAATTTTTCAGCTTGGATCAGTGAAAGATTATTATTCTAGATACCAGTCAACGTGACTGGTCTCGGATTTTTATTTCTACAATTATGAAAAACGTGTACCTGGTTTTAGAAAAATTAATACTGATTCTTCCTGAAATCTAAGTGTAATTATATAATATTTATTTATCTTCATCGTGTCATTATTTTGTCTATCTGTACAATATAAATCAATGCACCCAGCGTTAATCTACACACAGACATATATATCAAATGACTTTGAACGCTGTTTAACATTGGGTTTACGGACACTATCTGTATACCTGTTTCTAAGGACACCTGTCAAATTGACAGGTAAAGGAAACCACGTGCCTTTTTTTTTAACGATTAGTTTAATTTAAGAACAATTATATATTATATTAACAGTCTTGTTATAAGTTAACTAAATCTGTTACCATCGTATAATTGCAGCAACCCTTCCGTCGTAAATCCAGTGTTAAAGGCCAAAGTATTTACGTTAAGAATTTCACCTTGAAATGAATTATCCGTTTGTATAAGAATAAATACGGAGTTCCATTAAAAAATACCAAGATCACCTTGAAATCTCGGTAGCACGTCCACCTAATAAAAATTCATGACAACTATAAGACATACCCCTTAAAACAGGATAACTTTTACTTAAAACATTTTCTGAAACGAACTATAGTTCAGGAAATAATTGAGTGCGAATCTTCCAATAGGACACCCTGTATATATACGTATATATTAGATTGGTAGAAAAATAATTTCGTTTTTTAACCCTTAACTTTAAACGCAGGATACAATAAACTTTAATAAACAAAATAAGCACCATCCAAATCAATACACTTTGGCCAACGCGAAACAAGTTTATTTATTCCGGTTTCATAAAATTCAGGAGTTCTGGAGGCGATGAAGTCGTTCAAGGCATTTTTAGCATCGTTTTGGTTTTTGAGGCATTTCTCCGATAAGAAATTGTCAAGATGAATACATAAAATACAGAAAAAATCGCAAACTGCTATTGTAGGATGGCGAAACGTCTTGAGACACCGAAAATTCAAGAAAAAACAAGAACACAATAACGCAAACTCAAAACTCGTAAACTGATTTAACTTAGGAAAAGAACACCAAGATAACTAATTTAAAATTATTTTAAATTCTTTAAATATAACATTTAAAAATTTTAATCAAAATATATTATATCCACTTGAAATAAATCAATATATTTTTGGACATAAAATAATAGGTAAAAATATGAAAAATCAATTTGAAAAGTAACTTAAATTAGTTATCGAATCAAATATTTCAAATAAATTTATAAAATTAATTTTCATTTTTTTTATTGTTATTTTATTTAAATTTAAATTAATTATTATATATAAAAAAAATTTAAATTAATTATTATATATATTAAATTTATTAAGCATAAGAATAAAATTATTCATCATTTAATTGGTATTATTTGTGGAATTAAATTGTCATTAAAAGTATTAATATACTGTATTTGATTTAAAAAATCAATTCTTTAAACTTAAGACATTTAATGAAAAAATATTAAAAATAATGAAAACACACAAGGACGCTCTCTTTTGAAACTCTCTTTCCAACACCAAGCGACTCACGCTTGTGCTGGTCACAACCTATTTCTAAGGACTCTGTTTTGGTTGTCAAGGACCACGCTTTTATGCTTTCCTCAACCTACGCTTCACCTACCCGTAGGGGTGTCACGCAACTTAATTTTGTTATATGGAATAATTTTTCGATTTGCTTTTAGAAGATATCGATCGGTTTACAATTTGTTTTCGTTGGCAATAGTCGATTTGCGATTTCTTTTGGTATCCTACACTACTTTCCCAACACTTGCCACTAAATAATTAGTTAATTAAATCAAATAATTCCCAACAGATCCTTATTTCACCCTCGCTCGCTCCACCCATTTCACCGATAATCCTGGAATCACTTTCATCGGCAAGATTCGTGGCTTAATTATTTTCCATGGTCACCGTATCATAAGACGCTTCCTGATCGCTTTAACGCTCTACAAATCGTCAGAGGATCCCCGGGAGTAATCACGAACCCCGACCTCCACGGAAAAACTCAGCAATCCCTAGTTTCCAGCAGTTAGCCCTCTTTTTCTCTCGCATCAAGGCTCGACGTCCCTTTGGGGCGCATATACAGGGTGATTCGCTTCATACTGGACTCGAAGGCATCAACGATTACTCGGAAACCCTTGACACTCGAAACTCACAGCTCGCGTGCACTTGGGCACGTATATTAGCCTAATCTTCGCACTCCTTCGTGAGATCATCTCGTAAGGGCTTCTGTTACCACGTTTGACGATTTTTAGCCATTACCTTTGAGTTCATTAATGAGAAACACCCTGTATATATAGCTACCGGAGGCATTTTTGTCTTTGTGTAGCGATTCAGCTGCTGTCTGCCAACTTTCTTGGCCGTTCGAACACAACTAGGCTGACTGCTCTGTGGAAGTCTTAACCTATATTCCCAAGTCCCCCTTTCTGGTAGGCACCTCGAGTTTCACGAGGAAGTTCTTAATAATGCGATTAGCGCACCCTTTCGGGACCAGGCGTCCTCAACTTCGTCGCTTCTTCCGCTAATTTCATCGTTCATCCTTTACACCAGCTGCTTGCAATGTTTGCCAACGAAACTGCCAGTTCTCCCGATGCATTCGTATTTGACTACCTCGTTCCGCTGTTTCCCGTATTACTTTGAAGTTTCCCGAAGTTTATTTTGCTGTTCTTTCATTGCCAGTGGGAGGAAGAGGAATGCTCGTGGATCAGGAGGATGATTAAATTCCGTGGTCCATTTTTGTGGAGTATATGTCAGGTGATTGTTTTGGAAATATATATATATATATATATATGTATATATGGATCGAGATAAGGGTTGATTGGAAAATTGTTTATTTCAAGATTATTATTATTGTTATTTATATATTTTATTTTATTTATTATGTATTATTACATATTCATTATTGATATATTTTTATTTTATTTTATTTTATTCATTATTTATTATTACATACTTATTATTACATTATTATTACATATTTATTATTGACACATTTTTATTTTATTTTATTTTATTTATTATTTACTATTACATTAGTATTACATATTTATTATTGATATATTTTTATTTTATTATTTTTTTTTTTATTATTGTTATTGATTATTATTATTATATACTTGTTGATTCAATTGTCAATTTGTTTTTGTGCTTCTAAAGTGGAATTATTATCAAAGTGTTTCTTATTATTTCAAATTCGATAATTATCATATGCGACGAAAATTATTATTTCCATAGCTACTTGTATTTTTACTCCCATTTTCCCAAATATTTTCACAATTATTAATAAATTGTGTACAAATTGAAACGTAAAATTATTTTACTTTCGCATCCCACGCACCGTTGGCTAATTTTAAATTTGATTTATCAATTAACGTAGATCTTTGGAATCTGATTAAATGACGACTGTGGGTTGCGTCTCGAGTGCAAGGGGTTAATCCCTAGTTCGATTTCGTGTCGAATTTCGTTTCACCTCTAGAAGACAGGGAATTGGTTATCTCGATAATCGTTGGCCAATTTAACAGGTTCATTAAATATTCGAGAACAGGGTTACCTTTCTTTCCTCGGGTTTCATGCCAGAATCCTCATCTGGTGTACGGGAATACGAGGAGAATTTTTGCATCCCGAGAGAAGTGTCGCGAAGAAAGTATTCCGGCTGGTTTATGCAACGAGGTAGGCTATTTAAATACTTGGAGTCCAGTTGGCTGAAAAGTTAGCGAAAAAAGCAGCAGGCCGCAAAGTGCTTCAAACAGCCAAGGACAAATTATTCTCATTTTGTAGTCGTAATAAGAAACAGCGTGACCATTTACAAGCAGACGATCCTATTTCCAGCGTTTCTTCGAATTTGCATTTTCCACGGTTTTCGTTGCCACGTTCACGGCGTGAATCATTCCCTTCTTCGAAGTTAAATTATCGGGATCTTCTTTTTGCTGTCTCTTTTCGGTGT